AAGCTTTGTATTGTACCCATATGACTAAAAAATAATCGTGTGAAATCCCAATTGGCTTCGATAGGTGATAAGCATCGCAACCTAAATTACAACTTCTAAACCTTCCACGCAAAAGCAACTAAACTAACTTAACTCAAACATTACAAGGGAGAAAAATTGAGATCAGCATATCATGACAATGCACCAGCATCTCAGGACTTTAGAATTATGACAAACTCTCAGGTAATTGTAATATACCTTTTCAATCACAAATGTCCCTGATATCATTGACCATAGCAAACAAGTACATTAATATGCAACAAAAAAGCATTTAACAAATACAGACACGTTAGAGACAAAGATTAAAATAAATTAATTATAAAATTATTTAATTTTAATTTTTTTTTAAAAGTTCTCAAATTTCTATAAACTGATAACTAAACCTTTGTTTGGGAAGAATTTATATNTTTAGAGCAGTTGCACAAGGAATATGTGAAGGACTATGGATAAAGAAACTCTTAGGAGAACTACGGGTTGACATAGAACATCCAATCAAACTTTATTGTGACAACAAAGCTACTATCAACATTTCCCTCAATCCAGTGCAACATGACAGAACCAAACATGTAGAAGTAGATAGACACTTCATTAAAGAAAAGGTGAACGATGGAACTATTTGTATGACTTATGTCCCTACAAAGGAACAGACTGCAGATATCTTCACCAAAGGACTACCTCGACAAATCTTTGATGAACTCAACTGCAAGTTGAACATGATTGACATCTACCATTCAACTTGAGGGGGAGTGTAGGAAACTGTCTATTAACCTTCCATAAATCAAAGATTGTGTTTAGGATTATTGGAAGAGAAATATTATTTCCATAGTTAGCTTATTTTGTTTTCCTTTCTTGTAATATCTCGTGTGTTATAAATAGGGTGTGATAGGTCTTTGTAATTATTCGATTAATAATATAGAAAATCGTTTCTACAGCTCCTTATGAAAGGAAAAAATAATAAGTTTCTATCTGAACAGGAAATTTTTTTCACAAAAAAGACCTTCACAACATTGTAATGCTCAGGACAGAAGCTTTGTATTGTACCCATATGACTAAAAAATAATCGTGTGAAATCCCAATTGGCTTCGATAGGTGATAAGCATCGCAACCTAAATTACAACTTCTAAACCTTCCACGCAAAAGCAACTAAACTAACTTAACTCAAACATTACAAGGGAGAAAAATTGAGATCAGCATATCATGACAATGCACCAGCATCTCAGGACTTTAGAATTATGACAAACTCTCAGGTAATTGTAATATACCTTTTCAATCACAAATGTCCCTGATATCATTGACCATAGCAAACAAGTACATTAATATGCAACAAAAAAGCATTTAACAAATACAGACACGTTAGAGACAAAGATTAAAATAAATTAATTATAAAATTATTTAATTTTAATTTTTTTTTAAAAGTTCTCAAATTTCTATAAACTGATAACTAAACCTTTGTTTGGGAAGAATTTATATGTTTCATTTATAAATAGATAGAATTCAGCGGTGGATAGTACATGTGGCCCCAATGAAATGTATGGTTGAAAATGAAGATTGACCATTTATAAACAATTTAAAAATTTTGCCAAACAGAGGCTAAACGAGAATTGGATTATTTTTTCTATAAGTTAACCCAATACAACCCATGGAAATGGGTCATTTAATTTAGTTGATTGACCCCATCCCCACATCATGAGAGACTAATCCGTCCATTTCCTAAAAGATTCACCCCATCTCGAGAATGTTCTCCCACCTGTCTCTCCCTCCCCCGTCTTCCCGCTACATGAATCTCTCCCTCTCCCACCTTCCCTCTTCACCAGTCTCCATGACCCACTCTTTTTGCCTCCGCTTTTCCTGTCTCACAACCAGTTCCACTTTTCCTATTGGGGACACCCTTTCCTACCCCTCTAACTAATTTCATCTATATGTTCCTTGCCATTTAAACAATTTTCACATTTCAAGAATCTGAATAAATTTCCCCAATTTCAACAACCAAAACAATCATTAGTATGCTAGAATTATTGATAGAATCATAGTTAGTTTTGCTCTATGTGAATTATTACTAGATTTACCGAAATATTTAAGCAAGCATCCCCTTTACCAGTGTCAAATCCAACTCTACAAGTCTTTAAGGATCTACTTTCACTTGTGTTGAACTCCAAACTCTTCATAGCTCCATGCCACCTCAATCCATCTTGAGTCTAAACGATAGTTGTGGTTGATTTCAACGTACACAACTTACTAGCTTGAACACCCAAATGAGCTCAGAGCTACACTTGATTCCCGTGCAGTCACCTATTCATAGTGCTTTTTTTTTGTCAAGGTTCCAACTCTCACGCCGCAGCATGCTTTCATGGTTAGACCTGACTAGCTAGAATTCTTTCCCTCAACTTAGGGTCCATTCAATGCATACTCAATTGCAGGGCGCACTATTACTATATCTCAAGCATTCCGGATTGCTAACAGCCTAACAACGCCCCACAATCCACATAGGTAACTAGCATGGTTACCAAATGCCTCTCTGAGCAGCACTTGATGCTCCCCCTGCCCCGTACTTTATTCCTTCTAAAATTTGTCACCAATATGCCCCTCTCCCATTCATCAAGAGTTGTTTCTCGGCAAAGGCTGGGCAACATCAACAATTTCCATAAATGGGTGGCAAGGAGACTTGAGCCTGGATCTTTGGTTGCTATGATACTAAATTAAACCGCGTAAAGTTAGTTTTTCCTTACCTTGTCACATAACATCTTAATTGAAATTCTCATAAGCTCATATGATGCCAAAGACTACTGTTAGACATAAAAGCCCTCTCCTACTATCAACATAGTTCCTTCAAATAAGCACTTTACAACATATTGGATATAAAAACTCCATCGAAGTCACTAACTCATTGTTATTGGAAAAATAGACATCTTCTAAACGAAATTTTTCTAGATCTTTCTAAACCAAAGTCATTTTACTTTTAAATCTGTTTACCTCTCCAAAAATTCATAGTTTTCCATTTATAACTTTAATTTACATTTAGAACCCACCTTTCACCTATAAATTCTTGTCAACTTGAGTATTTGGCGCATTTCCATCATATTCCCACCTTGATGAGAGTTCAACGCCTCATATGATATGCAATCACATGTTGATTTTGTGGTTAAACTAACATTTCAATATCTCCCTAAGCACTCTTTTGAAATTTAGGAATTTTTTAATTGAACGGAATTTTATCCTCGATTAATAATGGAAATCAAATATTTTTTTTTTAATAACCGTGGATGTCCGGGCCAGCTTGCGCGCACCTCGACTAATCCCACGGGTCTTGAAGTGAAAACACCCATAACCAATAGGACCTTGTTATTTCATTTTTGTATGTTGAAAACTTGCAATGCCGTAATTGGATACACATGACTAAGTTTTGATATAATTAGTGGTGGAAAAGTATAGTGGAAGCAAGTATGATTAAGAATTGGTTACAACATCTATGCAATTGGCTATGGGTGTTTTCACTTCAAGATGAGCTTGACAAATTTTATGAGTATGGTTTGAGAATCTTATCGTGTAATTTTATGTTGACCCACTTTGTTTTGTATTGGACATCAACAACCTTATTTTCATTGCTTATTACTGCAATATTGATTGTCTGAAGAAATCATATTAAGGTATTATTGCTGAATTGAATAGCATATTAGTGTGTTGTGGTTCTTTAGCTGCATCTGCTATCGAAAAACCAAAAAAGCAACTGCCACCCCTTGGTAAGCCCTACTCAAGGATATGGTCATAGTTCATGATACATAAGGGAAAGGCAAAGTGCTTGTTTGTGTTTAGCTCCTTATAATTTAAAGATCAAAGTCAAACTTTAATTTTAACCTTCGACCGACCCACAACTACTATCCACTTATCCATTACTCATTCTATTTATTCTAACTACAATAACTTATAATTAAAGCCAAACATGCATACATAAAATGTAGTAAAATGTCAATGGCAAACATTAGATAAGGAAAACAAAAATTCCGCCACAGTTTGTTCTTTCCTTCTCACGTGTTGACCTTGACCAGTGAGTTATTTTTACTTTTACCCAGATATATAACATTATAATTTCAGCAACCTAGAATGAAAGCCAAACAAGCATAATAAAATGTAGTTGGCAAACTTTAGATAATGAAAACGCCACAGTTTGTTCTTCCCTTCTTGTGTGTGGAGCTTGACTGCAAGTTATATTTACTTTTGCAACAGTTATTTATAAGAGTACTCTGATGTAATTAAATTTTCTACATTCTGTCCAACTAAAACCTGATCTGCTCAACAACTCAAATGCAGCAAAGGTAATCAATTACTAGTGTACATACAAAAAGAAATAACTATGGTGTTCCCATAATTACTTATGGACAACAAAATGCATTGCCAATGATGCGGTAGGTATGTATTAAGCCAAATTCAAGTAGATATCCCATCAGGCCATAAACTAGGGCCCTATACATATGATAAAGAAAATAATAACCAAATTAAAGGTCAAAATTAAAGTTCTTTCACTTCTTGATCACGCTCTTTGCCAATTTTAAGGAAAAGAAAACTTCATAAGATCCAAATTAATTTCCAAACAAATTTCAAGGCAATTAGCTTCCCTTTTTTTTATAGCAGAAATTAGTACTAAGGCATTGTAAGTTGTCCATTAAAATCAAGATTATTGTTGGCAGTTTCAATGAGCATGACACTGTTAATATTGCATGACTCCATGAAACTAAACCAACAAATTCTTAACTTTTGTGAAGCTCTATAATCATTGTTCTTATGTAGCATTTCATCATATTATCCAGCGAGAGTGCAAGAATCTGCAAGTGCTACATCACATGGCTTTCCGAAGAAATAAAGCAAGCTATTTATATACATGTTAGTGACATACCAATCACCTCCAATATAAAGCAATGGAAATTTGAAAATGACAAGAATGGCGAAAGAGCATTCAAAAATTATACCTCTAACTTTGCTGAAACATAACAAAACCCAAAACACCCCCCTCCAATCCTTCGAATCGTCACAACAGCACATAATCACTGCTTCCTCCACCACCACTTCCTTCCTCCACCTGCCCCCTCGGCCAACTCGACACAGTCTCCACACTATTCTCCCTCTCCAAAACTCCCTCCCCTCTCTCCACTTCCCCAATTTGTGTAGGGGAGAACAAATTCTCATCACTCCCATTCGCAATATTTTCTTCCATTATCCCCACTTCATCCCTTCGATGCCTCCTCGCAATGTGTCTAAGAGTATTCCTAAAACCGAACAAATCAACCTCATCATCCACCAATTCCTCAAGCCTCACCAACCCCACGTACCTCTCCCCACCATCCAACCTCTCCCCGTACTTCTCCTCGCTCATCGGCAACCTAAACCGACAAACCGGGCAAGAATTATTAATCTCGAGCCACGGAACAATACAATCAGGGTGATAGGTGTGCTTGCACGGCATCAATTTCATGGAGGCATTTAAGTGAAACGGGTCCTTACAAACCGGGCACAACATATTCGGGTCAGCATCGAGCAATTCTTGGGTGATAGTAATTTCTTGAAGGGAGTCTATGGCGTATTTAGGGGCAGGGTTTGAGTGCGAATTGGAGGTGGGGGCGGCGAGGTGGATGAGGCGGTGTAGGTAGGGGCTTGTGAGGAGGAAGTTATCATCTGGGGCTGTTAAGGTGGGGTGGCTAGGGGTGTCAATGGTAGGGGAAGGGGCAAAAGAGTCCATTTGTTCAAGGGAATCGTGGTGGCAGTGAGGGCAGAGGAGGGCATTCGGAGTGGGGGAAGGAGGGAGCCCGATGCTCATATCACATTCGTGACACCAATAGGCATGGTGGTTGAAGAGGCGAGGCATTGCCGTGGATGGGGAGGCGGAGGACATGGCGCGGCGGCGCTGGTTGTTGCTGTTGCGGTGTTGGTGTTGGGAGGATTGATTGGTTTCTGTTCTTAGCTTTTGGAGGGTCGGATGTGATGTACAAGTAAAGGACATGAACTTCAGGGAAAATGGGGCCCAGCATTTGTTCGGGGCGGACATTGAGATTGACGTTGTATCCCGATCATATTCAATTTATTTGGGAGAGCAGTGAAATTTGGATAATGTGTGATTTTTATTTAAAAAAAAAAATTAGATTTACGTGTAATATTATTTTTATAAGAGAATATATGGTTGAAAATAAATTTTTAAAAAATGCGCTTTTTGAAAAATGAAACCCAAACGGGGGGCTTCATCACAATAGAATCGGTAGATATAAATTGTGTAATATTTGGTAACATAAGAGCATCCCCATCACATCCTCATTAGTCATTACACAATAATTCATCAAATTGCACCAAAATTTAGTGCAAATCTCCTCCGACCCATTGCACTCATTTGCACTAAAATGGTCAAATACCTTTTCACCCTTATCTTCTGCACCAATTTTTGTTAAGGGTATATTTGTCCATTTTATTATCAAATTAATTTTAATTCTGATTTTAATTATATTACTATTACTATTACTATTATGGATTAATAGCAAAAAACCTCCAATAAACTATTTCATTTGCGATATAACTATCTACCTATTGAAAATCGCAAAAAACCCTCTTTATTTGAAACTTTTTATACGAAATACCCCCTACCATCAAATTTGCCGTTAAAAATAGTAAAAATGCCAAAATTAAATAGAAATAATTGTAATTTTAGTATCTAACTTCTTCTATAAGTTATACCCAAAAAAATTTTATACACCATCCATGATCTCAAACATTTAAAACTTTATTTTCCATCTTATCCCACTTCATCTTCTTTCCCAAAAATTTATTATTTTATTTAATCCCTTCCAAGACCCTCTTAAATCCCTCACCCCAAATTCCTCATTTCTTCTTCTCATTCCTAATATTACACTTCAAAACCCTCTTCTCAATTTGGAAAACGATTACACTAAAATCACTCCCGTTTGATAATCCCACTGTTTTCACCATTGTATTTTGCATCATCACTCCCATTCTTCACGGTCAACAATTGTATTTCTTGCAACATGAAGCTGGTCATTTCATAGTTTGTTGCTTGGGGGTTTTACCAAAAAGATATAAAGTACCTAGTGTAGAAGATCTAATGCAGGACAAGTTTGCTAAAGGAAATATGGAATTTTTGGACTTCTAGTTTCTAAGAGATGTAATCGCACTCTTGTAACTTGCTATTTTATCTGCTACTACTAATATTATGGCATTACTTAAGAGCTTCAAAATTTAGCTAAATAATTGCTTTTTATTTTTATTTCGTGGTAATGTGTGTTGTTGCTGGATCAATTCCTCGTAAACTTTTAAGCCATTACAGTGCGGTTATCTTTAATTTTATATGCAACATGGTTCCTCAAAAGCAGATTTGGTTTCTTTTTCCAAATCGGGCCACGCATATGGAATTATGATAAAATTCTCTCTCTTATAAGTCTATGCTGCGAGGCACGGGTGGGGTGATTTTAGTGTAATCTTTTTCCAAATTGGAAATAGGGTTTTAAAGTGTAATATTGGAAATGAGAAAAAGAAATGAGGAATTTGGAGGTGATGGATTTAGGATGGTTTTGAAGGTATTAAATAAAATAATAAAGTTTTAAAAAGGAGGGGTAGGTGGAAAATAAAGTTTCAAAGGTTTGAGATTGTGTGTGGCATAGAAAAAAGGCTTATTAGCACAAAACGACCTTATGTTTAACCTTTAGTGTGCAAAACATCCTTACGTTTCAATTTTTTACATTTTCACCCCTATTTCCACGTTTCATTAAGGAAATCATCATCTATTTTTCAATTAAAAGTTGTGAAATGACGAAAACGCCCTCCTATTTAAATAAAACAAAAAAGAACAAATAAAGAACAAATTAGAATCATAGTCCCAAAATTTCAAAAAATTACAAATGAGTCTCCAATGTATAATTAAAAATTCAAGTCCTCAAAAACTCATGCTAACGTTTGCTCGTTTAATTGAGGAATTGATGTAATTGATGGATGGCCTATTGTTGTACCAACATTAATTGAAGGTTGGATGCTAGAATTAAGGTGTTGAAGTCTAGTGGAGTCCACAAATGAAAGGGGGTTGACGGAACCTGCGTGTGCGTGATATGCCTTACATGATGCTTTCATATTGGTTCGAAATTGGCGATGACCCATCGGTTCATTGGATGCGCCATGATGAGGCGGTGTTGGGGGTGGTGGTCCGCGACCATGGGTTGCATTGCTGGCACTGAAAATCATTGCTGAAATGCCCGAGTTCACTGTTGAAGAAAAAGGCTAGAAATATGGATTTTCTACATTGTTTGTTGTTAATATACATATGTGGTGTGTAATGGTGAGCTTGGTCAACCTGGAGGGTGGGCAGGTCATGGGTGTCACCGGAAGTGGCACTTTCGACCATTTGAAGATGCATGGGGCAGCCTACTTTGAATGGAAATTCCGGCCAAATTCGTTGAAGTTGTTGCCGATGGTTTGGTGGGTTGTGAAGAGAAAGATAAAGGCTTCAAATTGGTATGTTGGTCCGGTGGCAAAGGTGGCCGGAGTTTGGAGCTTTGGTTGTCCATATTTCCTAAGGTGCGGTTCAGTTTTCATGCACAATTTTGGAATAAGGAGATGCGTCTCTATATTTATTGTTGATTTTTAGCCATCGATTATAGCCAAATCTAGTCACGTTAGGGCTGGTGGCTAGGTGGTATGTGTAGAGGGGAGTGAGGGATGTCCAATGGTATAAAGTTCCGGTGGTTTGGGTCGTGGTTGGTCGGAGTTTTTAGGGTTTAAAGATGGTGGTGGGCCTGAGTTTTTGGTGTAGGTTGGATTTTTAATTATACATTGAGAACTCATTTGTAATATTTTAAAATTTTGGGACAATGATTATAATTTGTTCTTTATTTTTTCTTCTCTTCTCTTTTTGTTTTATTTAAATAAGAGGGCATATTCATCATTTCGTGGCTTTTAATTGAAAAAAATAGATGAAAATGATGATTTGTGCAATGAAACGTGAAAATTGGGTGAAAATGCAAAAATTTGAAACGTAAGGATGTTTTGTGCTAATAACCCCTTAGTAAAGAGGCAAGTCCCGGTAGATAAGGGGTGGAGTTAAAAAAATCATACAATGATACAATAATTTCAACGCTTCTCCTCAATCACTAGCAGCTTATATAGTGTTAGCATTTATATTTGCCTCTTTGTCCCCTACTTAAAAAAATTAATAAGGCCTTTGAATACTGACAACGCTTTGGTACCAAGGTTATTGAGATCTAGGTTTATCTCATTGCTCCACTACGTGCTTGAATTCAATTTTGAAGGATTACTTTCAGAACAGCACTCAACATATACATCTACTGGTGATACTTGTGTGCTTTCAGAACCACCATTTAGGATATACGATTGAATATGCTCTTATACTATTTTCCTTGCACTGCCTTTCGCCTGGGACATTATAAAGGGCGAGAAAGGGCTTTGTAATGATTCAAGCCTCGTGTTCAGCTATTCTCTTACAACTTAATGTCGCATTCCTCCAAAGGTCTTATGTTCGAATTTTGGAGATGCGACAAAAAACCACGAGGGGAAAGAGGGAAGATTTCCTCTCAAAATGGACAGTACGTAAGATAATTGTTCAATTGGTTTCAAAATTCAACTTAAATCTCTCATAAAACCTTTATTGAGATCGAATTCTGAGGACTCCATTGAAATTCGCGAGAGGTAAGATGAGCACAGTCTCGCTCAGAGTAAATAGTACGTAAGATATAACGATTTGTGCATGAGATTTGTACGTTATACGCTTGTCGCTGGTTCGAGACAATCAATAGAGGTGGAAGGGCAAAGAGAGAGAGAGAGAGAGAGAGAGAGAGG